ATTAGAGCAAGTAGTTGGTTGAGTTTGCAATAGTTCACTGTAATCCTCCAGGATCTATTGTTTTTTTTGCAGGGACCAGATTGGTGAATTAAATTAAGATACAATGGGGACCATTACCTTTGCATCCTTTAGATCTTTGTTGTCCAGTATGGTAGCCCTAGCCATAGGCATCCATTTCGAGAAGTCAGAAAAAGAGAAAAAAACCCAAATAAAGTAGAGGAAAGTAAATAATAAAGATAAGAGCTGAAACTGGGACTTCCCTGGTGCTCCAGTGGTAAAGAATCTGCCTTCCGATGCTAGGGACGCGGGTTCGATCCCTGGTCAGGGAACTAAGATCCCACATGCCATTGGGCAACTAAGCCCGGGTGCCGAAACTAGGGAGAGAAAACTCTCACGCCACAACTAGAGAGAAGCCCACGTGCCACAATGAAAGATCCCACATGCCACAACGAAGATCCCATGTGCTGCAACTAAGACCCGACCGCAGTCAAGAATAAACTAAATAAATTTTAAAAAAAAAGAGCTGAAACTAACGAAATACAAAATAAATATGCAGTGTTGAAGATCAACAAAGCTAAGTTTGTTCCAATATCAGAAATAAAAAAGGAGACTTCCTATAGATTCTACAGATAACAAGAGGATATTATAAGTAACTTTATTAAATTTTAAAAATTGGTTGAAATAGAAACATTCTTAGGAAAACAAAACTTACCTAAACTGATCAAAGAAGTAATAAAAAATTCTGAATGGTTCTGTATCTATTAAAGAAATTGTATACATAATATAAAAACTTTCCCACAAGAAAATTCTAGACCCCAATAGATGTACTAGTGAATTATTCCATTTAGGGACGATCTTACAAAAACTTTTCTAGATAATAGAAAAAAGGAAACAATTTCCCATTCATTTTATGAGACAATATAACCTGAACAAATTTATTAAGAAATAGGAAATTACAGGCCCATCTCTCATTAACTTTGATGCAAAATATTAGCTACTCAAAATATTAGCAAACAGAACCCATTGATAGGCTAAAATTATAAAACACTGTAGTCAGGTTGGGTTTATTTCAGTAATTCCAGTGTGGTTTAACACTGGAAAACCAAATAATATAATTTACTACATTAACAGTATAAAGGAGAAAAATCATGTAATCCTCTCTATGAATGCAGAAAAACTATTTGATAAAATGCAACACCCATTGATGATTTTTGAAAAAACATGGGAATTCCCTGGCAGTCCAGTGATTAGGACTTGGTGCTTTCACTGATGAGGCCCGGGTTCAATCTCTGGTCGGGGAACTAAGACCCTGCAGGCTGCGTGGCCAAAATATAAAAACTAAATTTTAAAATTAAAAATTAAAAAAATTAACAAACTAGGAATAGATAAGAACTTTAAAAAATTTGATAGAGGGTGCTTACCAAAAATCTACAGCAAATATCATACCTAATGATACAAACCTTGAAAACATTGGGGGCTTTCCTGGTGGTCCAGTGGTTCAGACTCCATGCTCCCACTGCAGGGGGCACGGGTTCGGTTTCTTTCTTTCTTTTTTTTCTTTTTTTTTTTTTTGCAGTACGCGGGCCTCTCGCTGCCGTGGCCTCTCCCGTTGCGGAGCACAGGCTCCGGACGCGCAGGCTCAGCGGCCATGGCTCACGGGCCCAGCTGCTCCGCAGCATGTGGGATCTTCCCGGACCGGGGCACGAACCCGTATGCCCTGCATTGGCAGGCGGACTCTCAACCACTGCGCCACCAGGGAAGCCCTCTTTTTTTAAAGAGAGAACAACGTTTTATTTATTTATTTATTTATTTATTTATTTATTTATTTTATTTAAGGCTGCATTGGGTCTTTGTTGCTGCACTCAGGCTTTTTCTAGTTGTGGCGAGGAGGGGCTACTCTTCGTTGCGGTGCGCAGGCTTCTCATTGCCGTGGCTTCTGTTGTTGCGGAGCACGGGCTCTAGGCACGCGGGCTTCAGTAGTTGTGGCTCGCAGGCTGTAGAGCACAGGCTCAGTAGTTGTGGTGCACGGGCTTAGTTGCTCCGCAGCATGTGGGATCTTCCCCGACCAGGGCTCAAACCTGTGTACCCTGCATAGGCAGGCGGATTCTTAACCACTGTGCCACCAGGGAAGTCCCGGCTTCGGTTTGATCCCTGGTTGGGGGAACTAAGATTCCTGCATGCCGTATGGTGCCACCAAAAACAAACAAACAAGCAAACAAAAACAACCTTGCAAACATTATGCTAAGTGAAAGAAAGCCTGCATAAAAGATCATATTGTTTGATCCCTTTCATATAAATTATCCAGAATAGATAAATCCATAAAAACAGAAAGATTGGGTTTGCCAGGGCTAGGGATACAGTGGTACAGGGAGTAACTGCTTACAGATATGGGGTTTTATTTGGGGGTTATGAAAACGTTTTAGAACTACATAGAGGTGGTGGTTGTACAATATTTTGAATGAACGGAATGACCCTGATTGTAATTTTCTTTTCTTGTGATGTGTTTTTCTGGCTTTGGTACTGGGGTAATGTTGGCCTCATAGAATGAGTTAGGGATTTTCTTCTTCTCTCACCTTCTCCTTTTTCTTCTTCCTTCTCTTCTTAAGAGTTTGAGAAGCATTGATGTCAGTTTTTAAAATGTTTGGTAGATTTTACCAGTGAAGCCTAGTCCTGGACATTTTTTCAGTTGGGAGGGTTTTGATTACTGATTCAATATCTCTACTTGTTATGGGTAGGTTCAGACTTTTTATTTCTTCTTGAGTCAGTTTTGGTAATTCCTGTGTTCCATGGATTTGCTCATTTCATCTAGGTAATCTAATTTGTTGGTGTACAATTGTTCACAGTATTCTCTTACAGTCCTTTTATTTCTGTAAGCTTGGTAGTAATGGCTCCACTTTTATTTCTGATTTTAGTTATTTGTGTCTCTCTCTCTTTTTTTTAGACAAGTTAAAGGTTTGTCAATTTTGTTCTTTTCAAATAATTAACTTTGGGATTCACTTATTCTCTCCATTATTTTTCTTTTTTTAAAAAAAGAAGTATTTATTGGGCTTCCCTGGTGGCGCAGTGGTTGAGAGTTCGCCTGCCGATGCAGGGGACATGGGTTCGTGCCCCGGTCCGGGAAGATCCCACATGCCACAGAGCGGCTGGGCCCGTGAGCCATGGCTGCTGAGCCTGCGCGTCCGGAGCCTGTGCCCCGCAACAGGAGAGGCCACGACAATGAGAGGCCTGCATACCGCAGAAAAATAAATAAATAAAATAAAAAGAAGTATTTATTTATTTATCTATTTGGCTGCATTGGGTCTTGCAGCACATGGGATCTTCATTGTGGCATGCGAGCTTCTCTCTAGTTGTGGCACAGGGGCTCCAGAGCTCGCGGGCTCTCTAGCTTTGGCCCACAGGCTCTAGAGCGCGTGCCCTTAGTTGCCCCACAGCCTGTGGAATCTTACCTACATCCCCTGCATTGGAAGGCGGATTCTTAACCACTGGACCACCAGGGAAGTCCCTCTCTATTATTTTTCTATTCTCTATTTCATTTACCTCTGCTCTAATCTTTATTATTTCCTTCTTTGTGCTAGCTTTAGGTTTAGTTTGCTCTTCCTTTGCTATATCTTCCTCTTCTTTTTGATCTCTAAATGGTGAAGGGTCTTAGGGCTCAGTCCTTGAACTGTTTCACTGTCTACTCTCACTCCCTAGGTTAGGAAGTGGGGAAGATCCCTCAAAGAAGACAGAGAGCAAATGTGTCCGTGAAGTAGGAGGAAAACCAAGAGAGAAGAGTGTCTCAGAAGAAAAGAAAAGAAAGACTTTTAATAAGCAGGGACAAATACTGCTGGGAGGGCAAGAAGGGTGAGGATTGAGAACTGGCCAGAGATTTGATCACATATGGAGGTTTTTGAAGACTTTAACAAATTTCTCTCAAATGGTGTGGATTAAACTTGATTTATAATGGATTGAAGAGACAATGGGAGAAGCTATCAAAGACTACTAACGTTATATCAGAAGAACTCAAGAGCCTGAAGAGAATCCCAATGTAACCATCTCAGTGTAACTAGAATAATAACCACAATGGGTTAGAGCACATTAAATAGAAATAAATCCATGAATTCATAATGTTCTTTTAAGAAATATGAAGTAGTCATCATTGGAAGATAAGAGGGAACCAACCCATTATTTTAAAAACTTTTGATCAAGTATCAAACATTTATCTTGCCTTTCCTATATGAACTATACATCAGAGTGGCCTACTACTACTCTGAGGGGAAGTTTCTCATTATCAGAATACGCCAGCCAATAAATGAAGAAGGGATATTATAATATCACCATTTTGCAACTCCTAATGAATGTATGGATTTAAGCCTTGAGCAACAACAGTTGCTAACATCACAAAAAGAGGTAACCAGATATTATATGCCTCCTGATGGAAGAACTCACGATCATCTATGAAGGAGTCTTACCAAAATAATCAAATCTGACTCTGATCAGCCTCTCAATCCAATACCAATTTACAACAAATTCATAGGCCAAAGGAAAGATACCACACAGTCAGCAAAATTCAGAATGCAGGAAATTTTATAGGACAGCAATCCAAGTTTCTCCAACAAATAAACTGCAAGAGAAGGATACCCCAGAAGATTAAAGGATGATTGTTTGCCAATTTTCCCCAAATAGCCCCAGGATAGGGAATGCCTGAGACAGTCATTACAGGGTTGGGCCACTATGAGAGTTAGAAATGTTTTTACTCTCTCTAAAAGCACAAAATTTGGGCTTCCCTGGTGGCGCAGTGGTTGAGAGTCCACCTGCCGATGCAGGGGCACGGGAAGATCCCACATGCCGCGGAGCGGCTGGGCCCGTGAGCCATGGCCGTTGAGCCTGCGCGTCCGGAGCCTGTGCTCCGCAATGGGAGAGGCCATAACAGTGAGAGGCCCGCGTACCGCAAAAAAAAATAATAATAATAATAAAAAAATAATAATAAAACCACAAAATTTCTTTCTTTTTTTTTTTAGCCACACCACACCGGCTTTCAGGATCTTCGTTCTCCAACCAGCGATGGAACCAGGGCCCCAGCAGTGAAAGCGCTGAGTCCTAACCACTGGACCACCAGGTAATTCCCCAAATTTCTTTTTAAAAAGTAAAAAATCTGGACTTCCCTGGCGGTCCAGTGGTTAAGGCTCCACGCTCCCAATGCAGGGGGCATGGGGAAGATCCCTGGTCAGGGAAGATCTTGCATGCCGTGTGGCACAGCCAAAAAAAAAAAAAAATATATATATGTAAAAAATCTGTTTACATATGTTTAAAGTATATCTTGAAGGATATGCAAGAAACTGCCTATAAGAAGGGGAACTGAATGCAAGACATCACTTGTATATCCTTTTGTACTTTCTGTTTTGTTCATGTTTTATATAGTCAAAAAATAAAATAATTGGAAAGGAAAGAAGGAAAGAAGAAAGGAAGGAAGGAAAATCATCAGACCAATTATATTTCTCTGTAACTTCTATCAAGTAGGCCTCATTCTATCCTCTGGTTAATCCCTCTTCTATGTCACAACTCTTCAGATATTTGACGATGTCTCTCTTTTCCCCTTTCGTTTTCTTTTCTCCAGCCAAATGTCTCCAGGTCCTCCCACTGTTCTTCAAGTGACTCGCTTAACAATCTCTTCTTTATTGCCCCTGTCTCTCTTGGTTGTACGTGGTCCAGTTTGTTAAAGTGTGTAGCCCAAGACTGAATATCAGATGACAGATGGGGTTATCACTTAGCACATCCTGAACACTATGTCTATTAATGGAGCCAAAGCCTAAATTAAATGACCCAGCAATTCCATTTCTGGTTATATACCCAAGAGAAATGAAAACACATGTTCCCACCAAAACTTGTACACGAATATTTATTACAGCATTATTTATACTAGCCAAAAGATGGTGAAGGAAATCAGAATATATCATCTCAAAATATGCCTCTTTGACAAAAAAAAATTATTTTGAGCTGAAGGCAATTTAAAAAAGCAAACACAGAAACTTCCCTGGTGGTCCAGTGGCTAAGACTCCGTGCTCCCAAAGCAGGGGGCCTGGGTTTGATCCCTGGTCAGGGAACTATATCCCACATGCCGCAACTAAGACACGGCACAGCCAAATAAATAAATAAATATTAAAAAAAAAAAAGAATAAAGCAAACACAGAAAAAGCTTTCTCTCTCTACACTCCTCCTTTTCTGCCTGAAGGCAGGATATAAATTCTCCTTTACTAGAGACGCTCTAGACGCTTATCAGCCCAGAGAGAGCACCAGAGAAATCTGCAAACAAACCTCACTCCATTAGTTTCCTCGCATATATTTATCTTCCCACAGTTGGCCACCCTTAGAAGCCTAAAACCCTTTTCCTTTATTTATTTATATATTTTTAATTGGGGGTAGAATTGCTTTACAATGTTGTGTTAATCAGCTATAATGTTTACAATGTTAAGTGAATCAGCTATATGTACACATACATCCCCTCGTTTTTGGATTTCCTTCCCATTTAGGTCACCACAGAGCATTAAGGAGAGTTCCCTGTGCTATACAGCAGGTTCTCATTATAAAACCCTTTTCCTTTGTCCTATCATTTCTCCACAAATTTATTGTTTTTTTCTTGAAGATGCCATGTTAGCCAGAGTTCTAAGTCATTGCTTCGAGTTACTCTTCGTTGAAGTTTCTCATGTGTGATATGCACTGCATGTGTTAATAAACTTGTTTTTCTCTCGTTAATCCATCCTTTTGTTAAAGAGCCCTAGCTGAGGACCTAGGATGGATAGAGGTAAATTTCTGCCTACCCTACAATGGAAACAACCCAAATGTCTATCAACAGAAAATGGATAAACCAAATGTGGTATATCCAGACAATTGAATATTATTTGCCCATAAAAAGAATGGAGTATTTATAAATGCTACAACTTCAATGAACCTTGAAAACATTATGCTAAATGAAAGAAGCCAGTCAGAAAAGGCCACATATTATATAATTATATTTTTATGAAAGTCCTGAAAAGGGTAATCTATAGAGACAGAAAGTAGATTAGTGGTTGCTGAGGGCTAGGAAAGGGATGACTGAGGGTAGGAGGATGATAGCGAATAGGTATGAGGTTTCTTTTTGAGGTGATGAGAATATTCTAAAATTGACTGTAGTGATGGTTGCACATATCTGTGAATATACTAAAAACCACTGAATTGTACACTTTTAATGATTTAATTATATCATACGTGAATTATATCTCAATGTGAATTTTAAAAACAAAATACTTTTGTTTTTTAAAAAAGTAAACTTTTTTTTTTTTTTCTTCCCGTAGGAAAAAAATGGTTTTGTACATGTAACATTTTTGGTTAGTTTCATCATAGTGTCACTTCATATAGTGTTGCTGTTACACAAGCTATTATTTTTTCTTAATTGGACTATAGTTGATTTATAATACTGTATTAATTTCATGTGTACAGCAAAATATTTTAGTTATACATATATATTCTTTTTCAGATTCTTTTCCATTATAGGTTATTATAAGATATTGAATATAGTTCCGTGTGCTATAAAATAAATCCTTATTGTTTATTTTGTATATAGCGCTATGTATCTGTTAATCCCATACTCCTCATTTATCCCTCCCCCACTTTCCCCTTTGGAATAAGTTTGTTTTCTATGTCAGTGAGTGTTTCTGTTTTGTAAATAAGTTCATTTGTATTAGTTTTTAGATTCCACGTATGTGATATCACATAATATTTATCTTCGACAAGCTGTTATTAAACCAGCCTATCCTTGTTCATCAGTTATGAATTGGGGGCCTGAATGAATGAGTTTTCATTTATCTTGGCTAATTATCATCTCTTTGAGATTCATCCTTCTTCTGGCCATTCTATTGCCTTTTGGATTCTGATTATGTTTTCCACTGGGCAAGCTATCTGAAAATCAGATCACTATATTCAGTTTTTTATTCATCATTTATATTCAAATGCTGGACTATTCCCATGGATTCTAATCTTGTCTCCAGTTTTGTCTCCCACAATCCATTCTCCTTACTGAAGTTTGTGATGTTAAAAAAAAAAACAAAAAGAACCAGAAATTTGGGACTTCCCTGGTGGCGCAGTGGTTAAGAACTCGCCTGCCAATGCAGGGGACACAGTTTCAATCCCTGGTCCAGGAAGATCGCACATGCTGAGGAGCAACTAAGCCCATGTGCCACTACTACTGAGCCCGCGTGCCACAACTACTGAAGCTCACGCACCTAGAGCCCATGCTCCGCAACAAGAGAAGCCACTGCAATGAGAAGCCCGCGCACCACAACGAAGAGTAACCCCTGCTCACCGCAACTAGAGAAAGCCCGTGCACAGCAACGAAGACCCAAGGCAGCCAAAAATAAATAAATAAATAAATGTATTAAAATGTAAAAATCTGTATTAAAAAACCCAGAAATTTCATCAGACCACTCCCTTGCTTAAAATCTTTTAAAGGATTTTCATTGCCTTCAGGATAAAGGGCAAACTCCTTAATTGGCTCACAAGGCCCTACACTGATGTGGCCCAATCCTCCAGCCTTATCTCTTACCACTTCTCTATCCCGCTTTGTGTATCTGCCATAAACTGACCCTTTTCTCTCAACCTCGAAATAAGCTGCTTTTTGTGGAACATTTTTCTTTCACCAAATATTTACTGAGCCCCAACTATATTGCCAGGTGCTGTTCCTGAGCTCTCATGGAACTTACATTCTTTTTTTTTTAATATATACATTTATTTATTTGTATTTTTATTTATTTTTGGCTGCGTTTGGTCTTTGTTGCTGCGTGCGGTCTTTCTCTAGTTGCCGCGAGCGGGGGCTACTCTTCCTTGCGGTGCACGGGCTTCTCATTGTGGATCACGGGCTCTAGGCGTGAGGGCTTCAATAGTTGTGGCTCCCGGGCTCTAGAGCGCAGGCTCAGTAGTTGTGGCACATAAGCTTAGTTGCTCCGCAGCATATGGGATCTTCCCCCACCAGGGCTCGAACCTGTGTCCCCTGCATTGGCAGGCGGATTCTTAACCACTGTACCACCAGGGAAGTCCCATGGGCAACATTTATAAAAAAATTAGATGACAAGGTATCCCCACAAACCCCAAAATACAAGCAATGAGAATGAACACCGAAAGTCACAGGACCTGCTTGTTACGGGTGTCTATGCAGGAGAGAGCAGAGGTAGCAACCGGTGTCAACCGGGTATGTCAGAGAATATGAGAACAGGAGAAGCAACCGGGGTGTCAGAGAATATGAGAACAGGAGAAGCTACAAACAGAAAGCCTGGCAGGCCAATCTGACAATGGCAGCTGAAACAGAAAGAGGTTTTGCACCCACCCCAGTGGCGGGCGAAGACAAGGGCCTGTGCATGTCAGTAAGGACTGAAGAGTTTGGAGTAACTTCACCCCCTTTGAACTCTCCAAACTGACTCTCCAGGGCTTCCTTTCAGGATAGGCCCCATACTGAAGAAAGACTGATGAGAGAGGAATCAAAGTTGAGCAGGACAGGGACAACAGAGACAAAGGAAGAGAAGGTCCGGAGAAAAGTAGGGTGCGGTACAAGGCTGGAAATCTCAGACAGCAAGCCACTATATTTCTGAACACTACTCAAAGCAGCAGAAGACGGAGCTCTGTCTAGATAGGAAAGCTATCTGAGCAAATCCTTCAAAATATTAAATTCAGGTAAAAATGAGCAACAGAAAGTAACAAGTTAAATCCTATACAAAATTTCTATAAGAAAAAAGAGAATCAGAAACAGAAAAGCATCCCTACAGACAAAGAAAGCATGCCAGAGAAATAGGCACACAAAATGGATGAAATTAACAACATCAAAAATGCTTAAAGTGGTAGAACTCGAGGAAAAATTAAAGTAAAAGAAAAAACATTTTAGAAGTGAAGACTAGGGAATTCCCTGGCGGTCCAGGGGTTAGGATTCTGCGCTTTCACTGCTGAGTGCCTGGGTTCAATCCCTGGTCGGAGAACTAAGATCTTGCAAGCCACACAGAGAGGCCAAAAAAAAAAAAAAAAGACTAAACTATGAGGAACACGATGAGAAAATAAACACAATAAATAATGCCTTAAAAAAAGATGAAAAAGAGGTAA